TTCATTAAAAAAAATATCATAATTGCAGTTGCCAACGAACGGCTACTTATTTTCGTTCGCAGCGAAAGTGTTAAACGGGAGTTTCTTCTACGGAGTATCGTCGTTACGAGGAGCTACTGCTTATCTAGTTTCTAGGAACAGGTCCCAACTAATCGGCACTTTATTAGCGCATAACAGTTTGAACAGACTGTGCAAACGATTACTAACATTGCATCGAACAATAAGACCAGACGAAGATCTGGGATGCAACAAAGTGATGCTGCTTCTTGAATCAAAAATAGTAAATATCACCGAATCAGAGGGATCACGAAAACATGCATACTTATTTTATTTAAATGTAGGGATCCTAATTGCTCTTTCCATTTAACCAATTTCTAATTTCTAGAGTATCGCGACGTAGAAATTGCTTCATCGGACCTTGAAATTTCAATGAATCCGCGAGTGCAATAAATCTGACGAATCATTCCTCGCAACAGGCTCTCTCTGAATTTATGTTTGTAGTCGATGGAAATTCCTCTGATCGCTTTAATCCATTCGGAGAATTGCAGTCGATGCATGAGAAATTGTCTATTAGTTTAAATATCATCGACGCATTTAGGCCAGAAAATTCGTTCCATTGAATGGAATCGTTGCAAGCCGTTCGAAGCTTATTGTGACACGCGTCTATCGATCACATCAAGTCCGATACCGACAATTTCCATCAGAAATAAGACAAGTGCTCGTTACGTAGGCAATCGATGATAAAGACTTTTGCCCTTGTCGCTCCTCAGCTGTGCTCTCATTATGGTACAAACTGTCCTCGTAAACTTGTTCTCGTTTCATTCACGTTCGCGAATAATGAGTACTAATTGCCCATTTGTATTATTCGTCGAATAGAAATTGGAATTTAACTTATGATTAGACTGGGGATCTTTATGCAAAATAAAATCTTCTCGCGAACGTGCCTACAAAAATTGAACCTAAATAGGAATTTATTTTATTCTGCAAGTATCATAACATGAACTTTATTTTCAATCTTTTTCACATTCTCGCATATTGTTTGCATTTCATGGTTTCTTGGACATTTAAATTTCCTATAAATGCATAAAGATCCGCTGTCTACTCATGATTAACTATTAACTGTGCAATTGAACGGTTCTCGCGAAGAAATTACCGTGCCTTGATTTCCTTGATTATTCGCACAATATTTCGTCCACGTGGGATCACTGCACAGTGTTTCGGAGTTAGCTGGAATCGGTGAACGCTTCTGTTCGACAGTTTGAGATGGGTGGCGGGTCGTGTACGTGCGTTGATTCGCGTCTCGTTGCGGGGTTGCTATTTTTAAACGACCATTGCGTCAAAACCTCAGCCTCCCATTGAGAGCCGCGAATAGAACGTCTTTTTCGGTGCGTCCCATTTGCGTCCAGCTCTCGGCACCTTCTCCTCGTCTCGTCTCGCCGTGACAGATCTCGACGATTGTCGAGTTCAAATTGGCAACACTATATTATCCACTGTAACGCTTCCATGGTATAAAACCTCCCCACTGCGCGAATTTTAGCGTATTTTTATAAAATTCACGAAGCAAACCATTCCCTGGTTCATTTATTCGACGAACCTACAGGGGTGTCGTGTTTCAACCTTTTAGAAATTAAAAATTACATCGGTAGTATAATCAGGTGTAATTAGATTTAAGTAGTTTGTTTTGGGATAGGGGTGTAAAGGAGACGCTGTTTACTGTCTAAGACACGCGTGGTTATCCCCACCACTGGATAATCAGCCGTATACTACGTATACAAATCTTTTATTTTATTTGTATACGTAGAAATGCGTATACATTTTATCTGTTGATAATATCGTTGAAATATCCAGTACACCGCGAACGACAAACACACACACACACACGTGGAAATAAATTCCGTGGCAGAATTTCTTCTCTTCAATTTGCAACGGTACCGCAGAATTAAAGGGTAGTTTCGGGTAAACCCAAAAGTGTGATTCTGTGGACGAATTATTATTTAAATACGTGACTATTATTCAGAGATGGGCAAAACCCTGGGCTTCGAATAAATCTGACGTTTGCCGATATGTTTGTCTCGTTTCCTCTTTTGAACATTTTCCAAAGAGGAAAACGAGACAATCACATCGGCGAACTTCAGATTTATACGAAGCCTAGGGTTCCGACCATCTCTGGAATTACTAGATTAAGTAGGCGTACTAGATCAGCCATGGGAAAATATGCCTTGCACGCTATTTCCCGAACGAACGTTTCGGTCATCTTCAGGTTACAGGACAAACAGATTCTAAAAAGGAAACGTGCTAGAATTGTAAAAGAAAAGAAAGAACCCGTAGAGAAAAAATTTCCAAAAATATAAAGAAGAATCAACAGACCTCGTAAGGAAGTTCTATTTTTTTTTTTTTTTCCTTTAAACCTCCACGGAAGTTTATAATTTGTCCGATATGGGGATTCAGTAAACTGTGGACTTAAGTCGTGATATTAATTATGAGAAAGGGAAACAATCACAATATAACAGAAAAGGAAAAGAAATTAAGAAAAAGAAACACAACCATTCGTTATATAAATAAAATAGAAAGGCACTCACTCACGAGGAAAAACATTATAAAATTTGTTTTCTCTTAAGTAGCCCTGAGATATACTTCAGTGGACTCCTCGAGGAGAAAGCTTATATTCGTAAGCGCACATGCGAGACCCAGAGGCTATTTTTCCTCCATAAATATTCTCAGTCTGGTAAAAAGACATTGGCATACACACCTGTTGAATTAATAGTGGACACAAGTAATTCTAATTAAATAAAATCCAACGAATTCTCCCTTGGGTTCTCAATTGGTAACGTTATGCAACAAAGGGTTAAGAGAATTGAAGTCTGGCTCGCGAGTCGATCTTATCAGGCTTGAACGTCGATCCAGAGATAACTCGATGTACACGAGCGGTGCCAGATGTCGAATCGCGAACAGTCCTATCGCTTTTGGGTAGGTATTTTTATCAGGCTGATTTCGTGCGTGTACTTTACAGGTACCGTGTACAATATTGCACGGTCACCGTGTTGAGATCATTCTTAAAGGCTCGCAAACGTCAATCCTACAATCCGCAATTTTTCAAATCGGAGCAAACACGAATAACGCTCTACCGCAACAATTCTGATGGCAACTGTCAGATTCGGCGCGAAAATAATGATCTCCAATGGTGCTGTGACCTTTTTATAACGTAGTTGTTTCATTCGATTATTTCGGTTAGAAACAGCGCGTAAGTTTTTTATGTTGTTGGTAAAATATCAAATAAAAATGTAATAGAGGCAAGGGGATTGAGCTTTAAATTGGTACGAACGTTACAAGAACTAATCGTGGTTAATGCAGAAATAATTTTCTCTTTCCTTAATGGATCTTAGAAATCCAGAATTCTTTTTATCTACATTAAGAGACAGCCCCAGATAAATAATGGAAACGTCTTCACCCAATCTTAATCGCTGAATTTCATATTGACATTCTATCATAAAAAAATGGAGCTCCTTCAGGGTCCGTAGTTGGTGCCTTATCAGCCATAAAAAGAGCTGTAAAACAGACCAATAAAAATCGCAAAAAAAAAAGAATTCCGTCGCTATCTCTCGTAGTTCCAAAGAAAACAGGTACGTAACGCTTTGGGTTCCGTGCACAAGTGCGTCGTGTAGGAAAAACAGTTTCTCTGTAGTGTCTACGTTTTATTTCAATTCGAACGTTCGGTTTATTTCAATTCGAATACGGTTTATTTCAATTCGAATACGGTTTATTTCAATTCGAATAATAATTAAGACCTCTTAAGTAACGAAATCAGTTCGTATCGGTTCGATCAGGGGTCTTTGGACCCATCCGATTGGTTCCCAAAACAGAATAGACCGTGAACCTGGAAAACGCGGATGCGTTTCGAGCCTTTGTCGCGTTTCCGTTAAATGGAACGGTGATTGGTAATCCCCGATTTCCGTCGATCAGCTCGGATCTCGCTGCTTTCAGAAGCATTGATTGCGCAACCAGTCGAATTAAATTCGTAACCTGTCGGTCCGTACAAACGATCGTCACGCGACCATTCGTGTTTTGCTCTTTATTTTCGGTTTATCCCCGGCTGTCTGCGCGGGCAGACCGCTGCTCGATTCGCGCCAAGTGAAAGAAGAAATTGTTGGCTCGTTAGTCGATCGAGTGCAACTAGTCAGACGCGTGTCGTTGTCATCGGCGAGGTTATTAAGTGAGGAAGAAATTAAAAAGATATCGGATTTGTTCGTGTTAGCCAGTAAGTTCTCACAGAAATGGGCAAAATTTTATTAGAATAATGGACGATGGCTGATAGAGTGATGCAGAGGTTTATTTATTAGCGTGTTTTTTCATTCAAAAGTTAGCTGAATAAGCAGTTATTAGGGAAGCATATGTTTTACGTTTTTACGTTTAGAGAAATAGTGAGTGGAGACCCTATTTTTTGGTGTGTTTGTAGAGAATTTTTATCTGGCTTAGAATTCTGCTCATTTTATACCGCTCAGTAGTGAGATGTTTGCACCTACTGTGCAGGGTCGTAAAGATTGCATTTGACGTAGACTCGCCTGTGCTGTCGAGGATTTTTATGATACTCAAGAGTGAATCTAGTGGTCGAGCGATGTTGTTCTGTGGAATATTTCGTTAAAAGTTGGCAGTGTGTTTAATACACATTCGAGATTTGTGCTGGAAAAGTTTTTTAAATTAACCCTCTGCACTCGAGATGTTTCTTAGTATTCTATTGCCATGAATTCTAAGCTATCCTAGATTTGAGAATAAGGTCACCTTTACCTCGCCGACAATCATTTTATCGACACTTCGAGCTCCAAAGAAATTAAACCTAAAGAAACATTAGGTATTGTAGATTTGTTGCGTGAAACCTAATGGTGACTGAGTGTCACCTCTCGCGAGTGCAAAGGGTTAAGTGTCTTCTTTAGAAGGTGCGTTAGGCCCTATCGCTTCTTACGTAGGCACGTTTATTAATTGATCCATTTAATTACGTGTTGCAGGGAAGATGCGGCCTTGCAGTTGGAGCTGAAACGGTCTCGCAGGCTGCGAAGAACGGCAGGTCTGCTACCTCAAAAGATCACCAAAAAGTAAGGAAACCTCGAGTATCGTCTCGCGTCTCGTCCTTTCCATGTTGCTAGCGAACCAAAAAGTACGAAAATAGGAAAAATAAAAAGCTAATAGACAAAACAGAAATACACGAAAAGCAGGCAGGCCGAGGAAAAAGAACGATCGAATATACATATAAAGTGAGAATCTAAGCGCGGGAGAGGGGGAGAGAGAGAGAGAGAGAGAGAGGGGAAGGACGAAAGATAAAAGAAATCGATAATCGTGTTGATCGATCAAGAGCTGGAAAATAAATCATAAGAAGGAAGAATCGCACGAAAGTATCTTTGAAGTATCGCGCGAAAAGAGCGCAGAGACACGCCGTGGCCTATTTCTTTCGAGAACACGAACTAAAAGGGAAAATAGGAAAACCGTGGTTTTATTTCTTTTCGAGAGAAATAAACATTTAAATTAAACGATAAAGGCGGAGAGGGCCAGTCGAGCGCGTATCGTTGCGCGCACCTCCGAGTAAAAAAAAAGAGAACGAAGGTAAAAAAAAAAACGCAAACGGGCGATCGTGCGTCGAGCGGAGATCGCTAATTGCGAGAAAATGGCCCCGAGCTCCACGGCCTCTGCCTCGATGAATTGCCTGCTGTATGCTGCGTCGTTCCTCGCGTTCCTCGTCGTTCTTCAAAGTTGCGCTAGCGCGGACAAACCGCCTCCCTGCGAGAGGTAAGTACCACAAACACTGATCAAGTACGTCGCTGACGGCTTCGTCCAACTATTTTTTTTTTTTTCTTTAAATTTATTTTTCATTTTTATTTTACGTATTTTTGTTTCGTTTGGACCCGACCCGATCGCACGAACAATGATTCAGGTGCCTGCTCCCTTCCTCATTCGTGTCCGCGTTCTATTGCCGACCGAGAACAACGCACCCCGAATGAATTTAATCGAATCAGGGGCAAAATTTTGCCTTCGTGTCCTTTCCCTGCGGCACCGGTTTGACGTGACCGCCACGCGCTCATGCCACTGCTAAACTCCACGAATAAATATTGGCTTGTCTGGAAAGTCCATGCCGATTTTTAGTAGGCGGTACAGGTCTGAATATACCGGAATGGTTGAAAACAAATAACATGTGGACATCCCCTTAAAAGGTGGAGAAGTTGTGGAACGAAATGGTACATACATAATTCGATGTATATAAAAATTCAAACGTGTCTTTGAATGTTTCTTAAAAATTGGCACGAGCTTTCTGGACAAGACAATACCTCGAATAAATATCGTCCGCCACACAATCCTAAAAGTCTCCCAAAGGGATTCGGTGGCACACATCAGGAGGAGACTCTTTGTTTGGGAACGAATCTCTGGATCTATAGCGCGAGGATAACAAAGCATCACCGAACTCGTGTCGCGATAAGCAACAGCGCGTTGCGCAATAGCCATGACTCGCGGAACGCGACAATTAAATTGTAAAACTGTGCGGTTGCTTTGATTCTTCGAGCTTAGGCTCGAACACTGAATATTCTAGCACTCCGTGAGCTTGGACGCGTACATATCTGTAGGACTTCTTGGATACAAAGGTTGTAGACGCGATAGTTTTAATTTTTAACCGACTTCGAAAAGGAGGAGGTTACTCAATTCGACATGTATATTTATTATTTTTTTATTTCTTTTTTTTATGTATGTTACTCAATTTCGCCGAGATGGCTTGACCAATCGGAATGAAACCTGTTGGATCTTGTAGAGCATGTCTCCGGGGTGGTCCCATTATTAATTTAAGCACACACCAAATTATTTCTATTATTCTCTTTAATATGTCAGGTCGTCCTAAAAGTTCGTGCCATTTATACTTCTATTTCTCAAACTAATATGTAAAACATACTCTTAAGTGTCACAAGAAAAGATAATCTGTCTCATTTCACAATAGCTTCTCACCTGTCTCGCATAGTCTTTATACAGTTCCTAGAAAATTTCTGTGATTTTTTTATTAAATTTCGACACAGTCTTCAGCACGAACTTATGGGACGATCTAATATCTCTATACAAGCTGTCAACAGACACCGTTTTTCTTTTTCAACTGTTCGGCTGTCGTTTGTTCCACAGACCTGTGTGAAAAAGATCGGAGGGAGTTCGATCCCTTTTGCTCAGATCGCTAATAGATGGCAACTCATATTTCTTTGTTTGTTTATTAAATTAAAGTGCGTACATTCGTAGAAGTACTTTGCACTACTATGTGCTGCTCTCTTTTTGCATTTCCTCTTCTAAACGTTTTACATTGATATTTCTTAGTTTCTATTCTTAATGGCTGATTTTATAATTCAACTCATATTTGAATGCCCAAACTCGGCTCTTTCCTCACAATATAGCTTTTATTTTATTTTATTTCTTTACCAAAGGGCTTTCTTATTCCTTTAAATAAGAAAGTGAGTTCTTATTCCTTTAAATAAGAAAGTGAGTTCTTATTCCTTTAAATAAGAAAGTGAGTAATTATAAATCAGTTAGCGATCTTTAGAGCTCCGTGCGGTTGTGGCAACAACAAATGCCACGTGGGCCACATCCAATGACGCGAACAGCTGACCGAGTCATCAGTCACGATGTCTTTCGGGCGTGTCACGGGACGTTGCGGCTCGCGACGCCCACCGTCGCCGCGCGTCGCGTCACCGTCCCCAAAAATAGTCGACGGTTCCGTCAGAAGCGACCATTTAATCGATCCACGGTCTCGTTGAATATCTCCCCCACCGGAAATAGATCTCTGATCGATGGCCAGATTCATTCGCCCGCGCGTTTTTTCCGCGAGCACGCGCATCGTCTCGTGATTCATTTCGCTAAATGTTTCTTCGGGTCTTGCGATCGAAATCAAATCGATCGATCTTTCATCGACTTTCGTTTTTCCGTAAAAGAAAAAGATATTGCGAGAAATTGTAACGAAATTTCAGCGTCGGCAGGAAAGTGTTTTGCAACATTCTGGTTACTCGCGTCATTGATAACGAGGAATATCGATCGATGCAACATTTTATTTCTAAGAACTCTTGGGATATGAGTAGATTGCAGTATCTTAATAAAATGATTTAGAGTCTTCGTTGATGTGGAATATACTTTTCTGGAAGCCTTAAAGTATGTTTCTGGGTTAAACTTTGAGGGTGGTTTTTTTTTTTTTTTATTATTTTATAAAGAAGACTTACTTATGTTTTAATGAGCAAAGTAAGTGATCAACACATAGGTTACTAACAAGGAAAGCTTTTTAGGTGTCCATCTCCGATTGTTTTGATTTTCGGATATGTTCTGAAGGACTGAAAAATAAGGTATCATATTTAGAGGGTGAAACGACTTATAGAAGCTATATCCGAAACAATCATAGATAGAAGAAAACTCTTCAAGAAAAAGTTTCATGGTTTTCTATCTGCATACAAAATCTGGCTCTAAATTTTGTAAAAAGTAATTTGTCTATAATAATAGCCTATCGCAGTTGAAACTGTAGGTGATCGTTTCACCCTCTAAATATGAAAACAGGCTAATATACAAAAATACGTATAACTTCCTCTAAAACATATCCAAAAATCAAAACAATTGGAGGTGGACACCTAAAAATGTTCCCTTGTAAGTCAACCAAATATAAGTGATGGGGCTTTTCTAACTAAGTAAATTAATTCCGAAGACGAGACGTTAAAGAAAATAAATCTGTCTACCGCATTTGAAGAAGTAGCAAGGATAAATACTACTTTAAACGACGAAGAAGGAATTGCACCTCGTGTAGGAGCAATCTCGTTCCACAGCAAACGACTCAGAGAAATGGCCTTAGCAATGAACTACGAAACCGTGCTCGCGTCGAGTTTTAAATTAACGTGTTCCGCAAGTCCAATGAACGTGACCTTAGCGAGACGACGCGCGAGATCTCCGGAGCTGCGATTCGAATCGAGACGCTGGAACGTCGATAGACGCGCCGAGGCGTCGCGGTGCCGTGAACCGCGCGATAAGACGCACAAACGTCGCAAAACCTCTTATCAGAAGACTCGGTTCTAAGGGAAGCAGGTGTAGTAAGTAGATGGAAGCAAGAACACAAACAAATAAATTTCTAATAGATGAATAGACTCGAATTAATCCGATTTAAGGATTAACCCGGTCGCACGTTTTAAGCTCGGGAATAAAAAAAAAAGTCGTGGTCCAATTTAGGCAACCTTGCTCCGCATCTCGGTCCAGGAACTCGAAGACGATTCGCCAGATCAACCGATGGGGGTCTAGAAAATCAGGTCGCGCGATGTCCGCTCTCGTTTCACGAATCAAAATGTCGTTAGATCGCAGATTCAATTCGCGCTTCCTCCTTCGCGAGACGAGTCGACGCCGTGACGACGCCGCGGGATCAAGTGCGTCGCAGGTCCGTCATTGTAACGGATATCTAGATTGCTCGCGATAAATATTAGGCCGATTAAGGGGGGCACATTCGACGCTATCACGATAAGGATTTTCTCAACGACCTCTAGTGTCTCGACTTTGCGCTCGTATTTTGCAACTAGTGCACTCCACCGAAGTTAACAAAATAATTAGCATTTTAATGCTTTTATTTGTTAGTTGCTATTATTTAGTCATTTATTATGAGAGTTGGGAAAAAATCCATTGTTTTACAAATATAGAGAGGGTTGAAATATAAGGCATAACTAATTAAAAATCCATTTAGATTAGACGAAAACAACGCATACATAAAAATTCATTCTGATTACTAGATTTGAATCGCAACCAAAGTCACTCCATAATCACTGCCTCTACATTTTGGGGAAAAATTCATTATTATACAAATATACAGAGGTTACAGGGTCTAAACATAACGTATAACTAATTAAAAATCCATCTAGAATTAACGAAAACAGCGCATACATAAAAATTCATTCTGATTACTAGATTTGAATCGCAACCAAAGTCACTCCATAATCACTGCCTCTAGTTTTTTAGTACACTAACACAAATTCACTGTTTTTGGCAGACACCTTTAGACAACGATAAGGGAAGATTAGGTGTAATTTTGTCCGCCAGAAAAGAATGGATTCTTCGGCCTACATTCGCTCGAATTCCTCCGGACGATAATGATATCATTAAAAATAATGTGGAAGTATCGGTATCCTAAACAGGATGGCTAAACAAAGCAAGCCCCACCAGAGTTCCGCTCGTGTGATCACATTCAGAACTAGGCCGTTCCGAAGATAACGAAAAACATTTACCACCGAATGAAAAACATCGCGAAGACCTTGGGAGTGATCCAAGAGTCAAAACACTTATACTAATCGTTTTAAATCGACCTAGAAGAACTTTCTACGTTGCAACACGTAAAGCATCCCACCTAACCGTCCATACACAAACTATAAAATACTTAATACACCAAAGAAACAGTGAATCTACGACTTTGTCCCTCAGATTACACTCCCTTCGGGATTATTTTATTTAGAAGACACATTATTAAGACCTGCGAGCGTCCATACACAAACTATAATATATTTGATACGCCAAAAAACAGTGAATCTACGACTCTGTCCCTCAGATTACACTTCTTTCGGGATTATTTTATTTAGAAGACACGCTATTAAGATCTGCGAGCGAAGACACGCGTCTTCTACACATAATCAACCATCAAAAGATCAATTTCAAACTATTACGTTATAGCACACCGTGCATAGAAAGTCCCTGCAAAGAAACTTGAGTGCGCAAACGTCATTTTACCCAACCGTGTTCCGCGTGGCTCGTTTCGATTTCGTGCGATCGCGCAACGAGATTCTTTCCCCCAGTCTTTCAATTGCCCAAACTCAACGTTCCTCCCGCCAAAAAGATCACTAGACACGCCCTTTATACCGCGAAAAAAAAACGCACACGAAAATTGCAACGTGGCAAAAGAGAGATCGTAGAGATATCGAGCGTGTGTGTGGCTTTCCAGCGACATTTACTGCCACGGCGACCTCCTGCACACGATACAGATGGCGTCGATCTACAAGGACTCGAAGACCTTCGTGGATATGAAGATGAAGCACTCGCCCAACCAAACCCTGGCGTTGTTCCGCGACTTCATGGAGAAGACGGATCAACTACCCACCAGGCAACAGATCGAGCAATTCGTGAACAAGACCTTCGATCCCGAAGGATCGGAGTTCGAGGACTGGGACCCCGCGGATTGGACCACCCACCCTAAATTTCTCAGCAAGATATCGGATGAAAATCTGCGGAAGTTCGCCTTCGATTTGAACCATATCTGGAAGATGCTCGGTAGAAAGATGAAGGACGACGTGAAAATCAACGAGGAGCAATACTCCATCATCTACGTGCCCCATCCCGTGATCGTTCCCGGCGGTCGTTTTCGTGAATTTTATTACTGGGACTCGTACTGGATCATCAAAGGACTCCTTCTATCGGAGATGTACACCACTGTGAAGGGGATGTTGACCAATTTCGTCACGCTGGTGGATAAAATCGGCTTGATACCAAACGGAGGACGTATTTACTACACGATGAGATCCCATCCACCGTTGTTGATCCCCATGGTCGACGAGTACCTGAAGACCACTCGCGACTACAAGTGGCTGGAAGACAATTTCCACCTCCTGGAGAAGGAGTTCGACTTCTGGATGACCAATCGAACGGTCGAGGTCGAGATGGATGGGACCAAGTACACCCTGGCTAGGTACTACGAGGAGTCCTCTGGACCGCGACCTGAGTCCTACAAGTAAGGGTCTTAAGAATAGAATTTTTAAATGGGGACTGAAGAGATGTAGGATACGTTCAGAACAATTAATCAGTCACGTAAATAATCGTACCTTCTTTGTTTCTTAAAGGAACGTGTCTAAATTTACTCCCTAAAACTCAGCTGTTTTCTATTTGAATTCTTTCAGAAAAGGGAGGACGAGGAGGTCGAGTATTAAGTGTTTTTTGGGATATTTTTTTGTACAAAATAGACTTTATCCAATGTTCTTATAACTTTGAGAATATTTCATGTATGTTTCAGAGTACGTTTGGAAACATTAGGTTGTCCAAAAAGTTTCTTTCGTTTTATTAATAAGTAATACATACACAATATTTTATGTCTAATGTTACATTATTGAATAGTGTACGATTCATTTTGCTCCATTACTGTTACAACATCAACATCAATGAAATTAGATTGTCTATTTACATGAACACTACCGCACAAAATAATCGAGTGCAAATTACGAAAGAAACTTTAGGGGCAACCTAATATTTTCAATTTATTTCACAGGGAAATCTTTGAGATATGGTGTTTTCTCTTAAAACATTTTCGAAACAAATGTGCTCTAGAGGGTACCTAAAATATTCTAAAGGTTCAAAGAAAATTAAGCAAATTTTTCTCTGTAACAAAAATCACGAAAAACGCTTAATAATAAGCCTTTAAATTTCCCCTATTAACACGTCGACGCCGGCTTGCATCACCGGTGAACCGCGCCGGTGTCAACGTTCACAGAATTTTTATTTCGAGTTTTTTATTTACGAGTTCGACGTCACGTTCGATCGTTTAACAATTGGGGTGGTTTTCTCAACCAGAGAGGATTATCTGACGGGTCAAAGCTTTCGCACCAACGAGGAAAAGGAGAACTACTACTCGGAGCTGAAGACTGCTGCTGAGTCTGGCTGGGACTTTTCCAGTCGTTGGTTCATACTCGACGGCACGAACAAAGGTAATAGAGCGATCTGTGCTTAACGACGTTCTGGAAGAATCGTACCCAAGTTCACTAGCATGAAAAATATAATTTACTGATATCAGCGAATATGTTACGCGTGGGAAGATATTCAGTAAACAATCCCATTTTTAGTATCAAAGAAATTAGTTTTCGATGTACAAGTTGAAAATCGAAAAGTCCCTTATTAACGCATAGACGTATATGGGGTGACAAGGATTTTCACTAAGAAATTAAATAAATTAATCCTGAGGGTTAGATGCCACGAAAAATAAATCCGGATAGAATTGGTGAATTTTAAAGAGCTTGGATAAGCACTACTATAGATCTTAGATTGCATCATTTCTAATTGTATAGAAACAGAAGCTTAGCCTCGTAAGAATTCTCACAATTATTATTCTAACAGTGAACGTGTTAACGAAACAATTTCGAAGATCATACCTGTACCAATTCAAGATAGAGATGCGGGTGGTATTTATATTCATAAATATGAATATCAATAAATAGCGCGTTGTTCACATTTTTATCTATAATTAACTCTTCATTAAATAACGTTAATCACTTACTTACATTGTTTACTATCCCACACGGAATCGTTTTCACTCCAACCAAACGGGTAATTAGAAAAATGTTGTAACTTATGCAAATAAAACAATCATTGTTGTTACTATTATAAAAAACATTATAGTTGTGTTAATAAACACGTATACGAAGCTCTGGAATATGTATAAGCATCTTGGATAATGAATCTTGGATCGTGATTTTATTTGCATAAATTACATAATTTTTGTAATTACCCATTTGGTTGGAGTGAAAACGATTTTGTGCGGGATAGTAAACAACGTAAGTAAGTGATTAACGTTATTTAATGAAGAGTTAGTTCTAAATAAAGATGTAAACAACGCGCTGTTTATCATAAATTTATTCATATTCATATTCACAAATCCACGTCGTGTGAACTTATGAATATGAATACCCCCATCTCTAATTCAAGAATTAAAAATTCCTTCACGGAGCCACCACAATTGGTCTCGAAAGAGGCCATCATATACCGTAACATCGAAAACAAGCATACCTCTTCGTAGATCGTCTCAAACCGCACACAATAAACGATTTCTGAAAGAGTCGCGATAGAAACTTCAGAGAGTTCCTTCTCCAGGTAACCTGACGAACTTGAAAACGAGATCCATTATCCCCGTCGATCTGAACTCGATCATATATCGAAATGCGCAGCTGCTGGCGCACTACAGCCAGATGCTGGGGAACGAATCCAAGGCCGCGTATTACAAGAAGAGGGCCGACGAGTGGATGAAGGCGGTGACGGCCGTGCTGTGGCACGACGAGGTCGGCGCCTGGCTCGACTACGACATCATGAACGACATCAAGAGGGATTACTTCTACCCTACGAACATATTACCGCTCTGGACCCATTGCTACGATCCCAGCAAAAGGCAGGACTACGTGTCCAAGGTGCTCAAGTATCTGGAGAAGAGTCAGATCATGTTGAACGTCGGAGGCATACCCACCACCTACGAGCACTCTGGTGAACAGTGGGACTACCCTAACGCGTGGCCTCCGTTGCAATACTTCGTCATCATGTCGCTAGACAATACCGAAGATCCCTGGGCTCAGAGGCTAGCCTACGAGATCAGTCAGAGATGGGTCCGCAGCAACTACAAGGCGTTCAACGAGACCCAAGCAATGTTCGAGAAGGTAATTAAAGATCGTTGCCACGGATAACGATGTCCAATCGTTGGTTTTTCGAGCAAACGAGTATTTTGGTTTCGGTTCGCAGTACGATGCGACTGTGTCGGGTGGTTACGGAGGCGGAGGCGAGTACGAGGTGCAACTCGGGTTCGGATGGTCGAACGGGCTGATCATGGACTTGTTGAACAAGTATGGCGACAGGTTGACGGCCGAGGATCAGTTCGTGCAAGGGAACGTGATCGAGAAATCCTCGTTACCGCCGCCAGTCGTCGTATCGACGGCTGGACAGGTGATGACTGGCATTCTAGCTCTCATTATATCGATTGCCGCAGGATTCATAGGGTGAGGTGAGTGTCCAGGTGACTGAACTGTCCAGAGGGTTTCACTCTTGAAGAAACTGTTCGGTTAGATTCATTGACGAACGATTGTAAATGTACGCTGGGTGTTTGGACCATAGATGTCTATCTCCACCTTTTTGAAGTTTAGAACCGTCAGTTTCGGTTTGACGCATACTGGAGGCATATTAATAGGTGTAGAAATTAATTCTTTGCCTTCCTAAGGTAAACTTATCATTCATCTATAAAGAAAAATCGTGCAACTTGTAATGTTGCCACGGTCACACTGCGGCTGATTATGTTTGTGTTTTTTTATTACCATGAAGAAAACAACGTATTCATTTTATTTTGTAATGTCGGGTATTCGGGCCAAAACTGATTATCACGAGCCTGGCCCGTGGTGTATTGTTCGGGGGCAAATGTAAACATCACATTTTGGTCCCAGGTTGTTGGAACTTAAATCGTAGCTTAAGGGGTTAACTATTACTAAATACTCCCGTTTAACCCTTCGCGGTCACCCGGGGTCAAAATAACCCCAAGCGCAACTTTAAGCTAGAATTACTATAAGTTATCAATTTTATGAAAATACATTAAAAATTGCCAGAGTTATAATTTTTTTTTTTTTAGTAAAAAATGTTTTTCTTACGAATTACCTCCTAGCTGATTTTTTTTCGCCATTTTAAAAATGATTAAAAATTTGTTGCCGTGATATTCTCGTTCTGAAAGGTTCGAACTAATATTCTGAATTTTTATTATTAATATATTAATAAATTAAACATGGCTGAGGTCGTTGAGACCCCCTGTGACAGGTGCGTTTTTTTACAGAACGTGTGACTTCAGAGGGTTAAACTAGAGTTATGAATAGTGCACCACGAAGGCATAGAATTATTCTTCGTTAATATTCTATTACCCTTCGTGAACGAGAGTGAAACACCAAAATGGACAAACATGGCTGAGCTCGATCTACTCGAAACTAACTCGATGGTTCTGTTTACTGTTTCAGATATCCTTCTTCTGGTCTAACGCATCTAGGGGAATTTCTTTGCCAGAGCAAAGTATTATCGGTATAGTTGTGTGTTGTCGCGTTCGGGGAAACCGTTCCTAAACGGGAGGACTAAACGAAAGCGAGTGCGGGCACTGGCAGCTCTCGTGATTCATTCAAGCTCTTAGATACTAAACGAAAGGGTCGAAAGAACGTAATTTTAATTTTTGCCGAGAAACCAGTCGAAGCGTTCTAAGGATCATTGCAGCAACGATTCATCGATTTATCCGTCGAGTTGCAAATAAAATCGTTATTTCTGTGTCCTTAGTCGGACTGATGTATGGCGAGTTCGCTTCGACTGTCAAGAGAATACCAAAATATAGTTTGTAGTGACGAGAAAAGGGAGAGACGCGTGATTCGAGGTGACGCAATCAGAGTACGATCGATTGTATTATGATGACATCGATCGGACGAATTCACTTCGTTTTCTATGTGCCTTATTTAACCCTTTAAGAACAGGCATGGGAGACAAACTATACTTAGCTATCATAGACATTATATGTATATACTATTCCACTGGTAGGACAAGGTTCCGATTTATTATTTACACGTACATCTCTTTTAAAATTGAATTTGTTTAGTTTGATTCAAGTCACTTTATTTACATTATTTTATCGCGTGTCTCAAGATAATTACGAACAATCACTACTCATTTTTTACAGTAAGAACACCTCCTATTTTTATTATTCACCCACGCGTATTAGCAAACTCAAAATACCTCAAACTAAAAATAATTGACGCCTTAAAAATAATTTACCCCTGTGGCCTTAGGAATCCCTAAAAACGCCTGTCCTTAAAGGGCTGACACCTCCAACGGTCTCTCCGATCGTTGGCCCTTCTGCAGGATCGATTCGATCGTTTGACCACCGAACGAAACGATTTTTTTTTATTACTTAACCATTCCATTACGCGCGCCATTACCGTCGCGAATGATTATTCTGTGATTTTCGAGGGACCCGTATCGCTGGTCGAGAACACGTTCCTACGATACCAATCTTCCCGCCAGGCTCGATCATTTTTTCCACTGTTCTCGTTTTTAGTTGCCGTTGAGATATACACCGTGTTAGACGTTTACAATTAGTGGTAATTAATGTAGACGTATAGACGTCGTTCTCAAGGATAGCGACGATATTCTTTAATATTTCTTTTTTTTTTTTTTTTGTGTGTTATTTGTCGTTTGACGATCGTTTTGCGAGAAAGAGTATACATATACCAACGCGCCGAATTTTAGCCATAATCTTTAGTATTATTAGAGTAGCTTCTGCAGTGATAATGCATACAAAGGTTGATCTACGGTGGATCTAACTGAGTGGGAATAGTTAAGCATCTTCACGGACTGAGACGCGGAGAAAATACATATTTCAGACACAAGTATAACAAATGGAAACAAATACAACTTGAATTTTTTAAAACATTGACAACAGAATGAACTCAAAAGACTTAACGATATTATACGAATTCTGAATTTTGAATAGCTTAACTTCGTCTTGGCTAGCTTCTGCATGCTTTCACAAGCCTTGAAGATACTCGGTTATTCGCGTTCATCAACGATCCACCTTCTACGCTAGACAAGTATTCAGGAAAGAGATATCCACGTTCAGAATTATTTTTTTTAAGTACGTCTGGGAAGTGAGTGCTTCCCTAATTGCAGTGGACCGTTCCAGAGATATCGATGGACCATTACAAAACGTTGATCCTTCGGGTGCTACGGACGCTTATAAGCGTCGAACCGATCAGTGTACATTGTACGTTAATGTTAGTCGACTGCACTGCACGACTAACATTGTTTAATTCTTAGAGTCATCGGGGTACCAGCGTCGACTTGGAATAACGAGAAAGGCACGAGAGAAAAGACTCTGTGACTCCCGTGCATTCCGTCGAATTCGCATCTCAGTTAACCCAGATAAGGCTGAATTTTTGTTTATTATTTTTTTTTCTTCTAAACAGTTCACCACGCATTGAAAAAAGTGTCTCATCGCATCAATCGCTTCTCTGTCTACAAGGACGTCAGCCTCTAACACGCTTAACACAAAAACAGAACACGTTCGAATGGTTTGACGAAATTTTTTAACGAATTCTGAACCCTTTTAGAAGGACGTTAGCCATAACTGGGTTAAGACGACGGTTATTCCGAGGCTGGTACTGAAAGGAAGAGAGAAAAAGCGTGGTACGAAATGTCGGATCGAGAAGAGTAGCGGATCTATCTAGTCAGATCTAGACACGTTAGCTAAGTATGTTTACATCGCGTATAGGGCTACGTAGAAACCCGAGAACCGCCGAAGTTGCTACTCTTCGATTCTCGATTAAACGACGGAAGGATACGCACAGCGGGCAGGACACGCTACGAAAGGGTAAACATTAGTGATGGGAATGGTACAGAGTCAGTAGTACACAATCAGAATTGGATATGGAACTATATTGAACGAAGTATCTACTCGATACTTGACGTAATAAAGGATTTGTCTTCTTTGTTTTGTTCCGAATGATCGAATAATTTGATTCAACTTTTCTCACAGAGAATTGCGATACAAAGGTGTAATATATAATTAAAATTGTAATCTCACGAGAGTGTAGATGTAGGATGCAAATATTTAAAAATATAAAAATGGGAATTAGGAATAAGAATATGTTTACTATCGAGTAGGTACTTCGGTTATTAAATTACGCCTAATCGTATCAGTTCCATCACTAGCAGATAGTTCTCGAGCACGATTTATCGTTATATATTTATTAGAACGTATCGTTTTGCCACATCGATCGTCGCATCCAGGCTAACGTCGAAGAACGATAGAGTGAAAATAAAGTTTGAACGTAAGACATAAGGAATACGAGCTTTTGTTAATTTATTCGTTATACTTCGATAAGCATCAGGATGAATAGTTAAATAGGATACAGATACGAATACAGGGTGAAAGATAGGCTATTACCTGATTAATATACAATACCAGCATGCTTCCCTTTACCCAAATTTACAACCCCCTCCCCTGTGTGATGACTTTTAAGAATAAAGTAAATAAATCAAAAAATACCCTCAGCCTGTCCCCTCTGAAGATTTCTCATTCTGACTCCTCGAACGTTAAGTAACACAATTAAACATTTTTCCATCTGTAAATTACGAGTTTTCCCGGCCGAAACGTTTGAGAAATCCTCTCTGTGCACCACAGTTATATCGTTATTCAAAGTAATAAGTGTTTAAACAATACCATGGTTTGGTTTCAAAGAGAATCCTGTATCGAGATTACAAAACGCAACATAGAGGCGCCAAGATCGACCTCGCGAGATCCAAGCTTAAAATTCTAGTATCCTTCTAATACTACCTTCTTACGACTCTATGTTCAACGCATGAGAACCTAACAGTGTCCAATAATTGCCATAAGCTTCCCTAGTATTAACCTATCATTCATTCCTCAAAGATCAACGTATCGAGATATCAGAAAAATTCTTTATCCGTAGCCTACGGTGTCCTAAAAATGGATCTGAAGGGCCTGGAGGGCCCTACGAAGGATCTCTAGATCTCTGGATCCTGTTGTCGCAGGGCGCTACCTGGAGGGACGCTCCGGAACTAACCTGGATCAACGTTGAGCGCACCACGTCGCGGAAAGTGTTGGAACAAAAAATAATTAACTGATTTAAACGTAGTTAACAAATAGTTGGGATTAATTAATTACTTGATATATTAATCCAAAATCTAGAATAGAAATACATCAACAATTAATCACGTTGTACTTGTCACTGAAATCAGTCAATTATTTTTATCTGAAGAATTCTAACTAGTCGAACGAATGGAAA